ATATTTTAGGGTGACCTTAAAGATATCATTCATATATTATGAATACAAAACATTGTCTTTTGTGACCTACAATATTATAAATCATGTAATATCTTTCACAGATATATGCAGACCTAACCTGTGTCTCAATGGTGGTTCTTGTTTTGTCACTTCTGATAATTTCCCAGCATGCAACTGTAGTGACACCGGATATGATGGAGAGATGTGCGAACATGGTGTAGTCAAATTATCACAGTTACCACAACTAAGGATTGGGGAACAACAACATTTCAATATTTCAGCGCAACCCAGTCATTATATTGTAATATCATTTTTCTCCAATGAAGCAGTGTTCGATCCTCCAGTAGTCTCACTAACTAATCAAAAAACTGTTACTGACGTTACGATCACGCCAACAACATCTGGAGTACTAGATATTAGATTTGCACTGTCTGGAATCAGTGCAAACAATTTCAAACCTTTACCAAACTTAGTAGCATCAGTCATGTCGGCATTTGAAAAGCTTAATATACCTTTTGGGACACTCCCCACTGGCTGCTATGTCGAATATCTGTTCCAGTGTCCATCAGCTTTACAGTTATCGTTATCATCCACATCTACCTGGTTTCAATTAACAAGTAATTCGTAGTTCGTTACACTTTCGGTGTTGTCTTCCTTGACATTAACCAGTTTTCTGTTCCAATCTCACTAAATGGATTGCCGTCATCAAAACTTCATCATTTACCTTGTCTAGTATATCGTCGCGTTATTCTCCAGAAATTGGTACCATGATCTCGGGTCATGGAAACAGTGAATGCATAGAAATTCCCTTTACTGTATATGATATTCAGGAATTTACCGAGAGCAATTCGTTTGCGAACTCCTTCTTAAATGGCATATCACTGAATTTGCCAGACTGGATTAGTATTACTGATAAAGAACACGTGTACATAAAATTTAGTGGTATACGTTCGATGGTTCTTCATGGCAGCGAAATTAGTAGATATGGTGTGTGTCGTCGAGCCCCTGTGTTTGATGACGATCTGTATTCTGTTTTTCAATTCAAAAGCAAGACACATATATCGGTACTGGGTGAAGCGATTCAGTTTCCACCATCAGTCAGTGGAATGTGTTTATTGGTTGATGTATGCGACACTGTTTTAGGAACCAATATTCTCATGTTCCCAGAAGATTTATGGGACAAAATTAGTCAATTTGATTTTCTTAAACCTTTAAGTGACAAAGGCTGGGTAATTAACCTGATAGGAATTGGCATGTCAGTCGACAAGAAACTCAAATTCGAGACAACCAGTATTGAACTGTGGAATGGTGACCATATGTTTACCTACACGCTCTCTTCAGGATATAACGTATGGATGTCTCTCTCAATATCAAATGATAACCTACTCGGAGATAGTGATACAATTGGTTTTTCACTTTCTGGTGATCTAGTGTTTATGCTGGTGGTCGATGACATAGACAAGGTAATGCATTACCGTTGTTTTTACAGTAATCGTATTATTTAACAGTGTGTAATGCCAACATGAAACGTGATTGATTTGCATTCACTATCTTTTTTCTACAGATGTTAACTCATATATTTGCTAGTCGTTGGGAAGCGATTGTCACTTTCACAACAGAGGTGGACATGCACATTACATTCAAAGTATTTGGACA